ATTTCCTGGAAAGCACTTGTGACACTCTCATAACAAACAGTGACAACTATACACAACCTCATTCTAGGCACTCACTATTCCTCACAGTATGTCTGGGGTTCGATTTCCTGTGGTGGACAGAGTGTAGATAGCTTATTACGTAGCTTTGCATTAAAAACAAGCAGAAGATACACACTAGAAAATATATAAATCCTAACACACTCGAGGAGCCATACCGGACTAAGTTTATAGTCTTGACAAGAAATATGTGCGACCCATGTCTACTTTCAAAACAACAGTATTAATAACTTTTAACTACCCACCCAGAATCCACATTATAAACCTCTGAAACATATTCTGGAGAAGCACGAGAAGACTATTCAGAAGATTCAAGAAATATTTTCAGTCATCTGCAAGTCAACCTTTAAAGCAACAGTGTAGAAATATTGCACCAGGTTCTGTCCAATCGTAATTGAATACATGATTAACAGTGACATTCACTAACTAAATCAAAATTTAATAATTACTTCACATAAGACAAACATTAAGAGTAAACTAAAAACCAACTTTAATAATGGTTGATGGGCAGAGCTGAATTAAGAGGAGGTACAGATGTGTACAGTTTCCCCGATCTCTTCGAATTGAAACCTCCCATCCCCCCGACGAAAATAAATAAAGATCATTAATCAAATATTGTACGTCTCAATGAAAGACATGTTTGCAATTGTCTCTCAACGAAAACAGCGATTTTATTCGTTTCACATAAGCCTATTATTTTGTAATTTTTCTTTAATATGCTTTTATAGCTTATTCTTTCGTAACTGTTTACTCGGCCATTTAACAAAACAATTCGTCATTACCTAATACTTATTATAAATATCAGAAGTAAAGTCGGTATATTATCTGCCCATCTGTTTGTGTATTGCTCAAACTGTAGTTAATAAACAATATTTATTGTATTTGATTTACTTATTTACGTTCTTGTTGTTGTTAAGCGCAAAGCTACACAATGGGCTATCTGTGCTCTGCCCACCACGGGTATCGAAACCCGGTTTCTAGCGTTGGAAATCTGCAGGCAAACCGCTGTGCCACTAGGGGGCTACTTACTTATGAAGTTCGGTCCTGAGGATTCCATTCAAACTTTTCTCCTGATTCCAGCTTCTTAACCTAGCCTTGTTGATAGAAATGATACTTGGCACAGAAAGAACCTTTATTTGGGCTAAGACAGTAAGTAAAGTCTCATTCCCAGAACGTTCCTCCATGAGCATGAATTCCATGAGGGGGTGAAATTATATTTATTCTTAGCGTGGGGACAGCATTCCATCTCACTTCGAACACTGATATATTTCCTCAGGATAAGGTTATTTAGCACGATGGTTATTCAAAGGAGATTACACTAGCTGAGCCTAGTTCTTTATTGTCTCTACACTAAGATGTGGGCCATAGATGAGTGAAAAGGTGGTGCAGAAATTTGTATAAGTTAGTATGAGCTGGGAGTTAATTTCTCCATAATTGTGTTTATTAAGAATGATTACTGACGTGGGTAAACTAAGATTGTGGGATATTTTGGTCTGAGATGAAAGTGTGATATAGACGTAACCTTCTTGTTCTGGTGAAATGAAGAGGCAACTTTTTTGTTTGTTTTACCGTAAAACTTCACAACAGGCTATCCGAGCTCTGTCCACCACAGAGAACCAAATCCCGGATTTTTGTGCTGAAAGTCTGTAAACTGACTGTTGACCTACTGGGAGACATAATGAGAAATTTTCACTGTCTTTTGTCCTGTGAAGACGTGTTCTTCATAAACTCCAACAGCCATCAGTTTGAACACCGATAGCATAGAAGGTGGTCAGTATCACAGTAAAGATTCCAATACGTCTTGGTTTCTAAAGTATGGTAAATAAAGATTGTAATTTTTGTTTATAAACTTGTGTTTGGGTCTTTTCGTTACTGTCTGTGTTCGATTAATTTTTCTGCAAACAAATGATTTCGAATCTCTTGTATTACACACTTATAACCGCCTGTTAGCTCTATTTTTTTTCTTAACGCATTGCCCCCAGTGGCACAGAAGTATGTCTGTGGATTTTACAACGCTAGAATCCGGGTTTCGATACACGTGTTGGGCATAGAACAGATAGCCCATTATGTTGCTTTGTGCTTAACTTCAAACGAACTTAACGCATTAAGAGCCAGAACTTTTTAAAGCTGTTTGCTATATTTAGCTTTAGAGATGCCATATAAACACGAATTTTTTGTAGCAGTTATTCGGCCAAGGGATAGAATCACTAGCACAAAGTACAACTTAAAGCAGATAGAACATAAACTTGGATAATGATAGGAAATATTCCGTTCATAAATACAGCTTAAAATAGCATGAATAGGCAGATTTTTTTTAATGTTTTTACAATCTCGCTCTTGAGTAAAACTGAACAAAAAAATAAACAGTTTGGTTACTACTAACATTTGCTATCGAATATCCTTCAAATATAACTCTTGACAACTCTAGTACCAGTTACTGACATCTACTCTTCCGATTTTTATTGAATCACGAAAAACAATAAATATTTAGCCTTATACTTAGTTAATTATTCTTTATCGATAAACATGTTGCCTTTTAACCTTTTCGTTGCATTATAGCTACTGATAAGCGTTAAGTCTCCTAGAAGTAAATTGTCTTACTGTAACAAGTTCCCAGTTATCATAACACAACACTTTTATATAATAAGACCTTTTTTTCAACTTTAAATATACAACTCAATTCAACCAAGAAAATCCATAATGATACTGTCTGAAATAATATACTGAATTTTAAGATGTACATTTTTATTTTAAAAGGTTAAACAACAACAACAAAAAAAAGTGTCATCAAAGGAGGTTCTAAACCTTCATTGCGTATTGTTGGTAACGCATGGCATTACAACTGTTAGTATTACAAAAACATACATTAAAAGTTTTTTTGCTTACGCTTTTAGCAAATGACTACTTTAGCATAAACACAGGGTTTGGTAGCAAAATATAAATTTCTTTTCCATACACTACTCTTACTGGAATATTTACCATAACGTAACAGAACTGTGAACCACTTCCAAAGTATTTAATATATATTTATTTATTTTAAAATGTTATTGCTGCCATCCAGTGTCAAGAGAATAAAACAGTCAGTGCTATAAACAAACATCAAAGGATACGATACACTTGCACTCAGCGTTATACACCACCGAAGAAGAGAAAATTAATACATCCAGAATACTGAAGAAAAAAAAGTACAAACTTGGAATAATGAAGAAGTTCCTTACACTGTAAGCAACTGGTGAGAACTTTAGTAGCCCATGGTTGTGAAAATACAAAATTCATTTTTAAACTGTTTACTATTTGCATCTGTATAGAAACAACTGTGTGCACAGGATATTTATATTGTCATAACTATTACAAGAAAAACAAAGAAGTTAATACAATATAGAGATGACAGTTTGTTTCTGATATTCATTCAAACATACTTATGGACTATCTGCACTAAACTCCGTAACTTTGAACTGACAGATCAGAAGCAGGCAGCTAATGAACTGCATTCATTACCAACTCCTGAGCTACTCTGAATGATATGATTTTAATGGCATTCTTATAATTCACCCACGATCCCAAAGTGTAGTTTTGTTTTGCAGCAAAGGAAAGTAAACCATGGACCTTTAGATCCTTAGTTCAGAACATTAAACACCTGGCCAAATGTATTGAGAGATAATTGTATTCTTTGTGTCCACCAACCACATCTTGTATCAAGCACAATAATAATTATTTTGTTATACTGATCCATACATGTTTGTTTGTTTTTTCACAAAATATGCAGATTTATACTGTAAAATAGTTTTACTGATGACATATGCATCTTGAGGAAGATGGCTGGTTTTTGTAAGTGCAAGATTACCACTTCACTTATATGGGCTTACACCCTGTCACCTGTTCATTCTTCTGAGTTTTTTGTGTACATTAAAAGGTTCATAGGTGTGGCAAGTGAACATCCAAAGATTAAATATAAATGCTAGTATTCAGTATTAAATCTTGGTTTAAAATTATTTTGGTAATATGGCTTCTCACATTTTCTGACAATTTTTTTCTAGTAAGCACTTTAACTTCCAAAAATCTTTGTTTTATATTTACTCATTTACAAGAAAACAGGGTTTCAATGTGTTATGAGAACAAGTAGATATAATGAAATTAAAAAATTGTCACTCCTATATAGACTCTATAATATCACATATAACAAAGCATTTGTTAGAGTTAAATTAGCTTTCAGTCCAAGTCACAATAGAAAGGCAAAGTTTTGTCTAACAATATGAAGCTAGGGTATATAACAAATAGCCTTTAATTATTTCTTTTATAATCTCAGCAAAATGTTATAAGGGGAGGGAACTCCAGAGCATATTAATAGCTAGGCATATCTTGATGGAAGAAGAGACTCCTTAATACATAAGCTCTGTTCAGCAGATTGAAAATAAGGGCCAAATATTTGTTTCTGATTGGAACATTACTTTTATCTAGCAAGCACACCAGAACTCTCAAGTTGTTCTAATATGATAATGCTACATTTTGTTCACAAATATAGCTGTTCTTTGCATTAAAAGGCATTTCCAACAAAGAAATATTGTAATCATAGATCAGTCTCATATTATTATAAGTTTGCACACGTGCAGTGAATGTGATGCTCTTGTCAGAAAATATTTTAACATTCTTTTTTTGGCTTCAATTGGACAAAGCTTACTCGTTAAGGGGTCGGTTATTAACATGCAGCACCTCTTGTAATATTTCATAACACTAAAATAGCACATTAAAACCTTTTGAGAAATTGTAAGTAAAAAAAGGAAAAGCCATTTATAATTAGGTGTCTTGTAATTATCAAAAATAATTTAGTTATAAACTAGGTGATGCTTTTTAAGTTAAACAATTTTGTATTTACATTCTAAGTTCTTAAAATGTTCAACCTAGTTCATACCTTCTAGCAATGTAATTGTTTTTAAACACACTACTTTAAGTAAAATTTGTTTAATAAAACATGTAGATATTTCAATAACTACAGTTATGACAATTGATTCAAAGCATTACAGAATGTTTCAAAGTTTACAATCATTAGGCTGAAGATGATCATTTCATACACATGCATTCTAAAATAACTTTTGAAGTCTCAGTAACTGTCAGGATCAGTTCCAACAAATTAATTGAGTTATTATAAACTGATCATTTTCATCAAGCCAAAACATACATTTTCAACAGAAAAATGATTTTCATTACGTCATTTAAACTTTTATGTACAAAGATTTGTCTAAGTCATAAGTGATTACTTTTTTGCAAAACAAAAAGCATAATATGAGATAGTTTCAGTTCAAATTCAGTTACAGATTTTCACCTTTCCAACTCAGCTCGAGCCTTGCCGGTGTTTTTTGGCATTTTTTTATTTGAACTGTCATCCAAATCTTTTGCTTTGTAAAAATGTGGGGCCACTTCAAGGAGCCAAGAACATTCAATTTCAATCACTTCTCTCATAAACTCCTTGGTTGTAAAGACAAGTTCATGATATAACAGCCAGCGAGGTAAGTCTTCAAACATTGAGCTATTAGGATGAATCATCACAGTCTGTTGGTGTTTAATAGTCTTATAGTGGCCACTCTTACTCAACTTTGCTGTATGATAGAAGAATCCTGCTGTTATAGCCTTTCTGATATTCACCGAGTCCAGTGGGTTAGAGACAAGTTCTATCTCCACGCGATCCATCAAACCTTCAAGTTGTTCTCGGACATCCCTTGCCCTTCGCATAGACCGATGTTGAATAAAGTTCTCAAAGCACCATTGCGTTGAATAACCTGTTTCCATCCACTGGTTGTAAACATTCAATAATGTCAAATGATCTCCACCTGCACTGAAGAAGTTTTTTCTAGCAGTATCGGCATGAACTATTTTGTCTTTTGGGCGATAGAAGATTGAACTGTTACAAGACAACATTGCTGCAATTGAGAGAATTTCTTCTGAGCATTTGTACTGTTCAGAGGCTAATATCATTTTCGACATCATAGGGTCAATAGGAAATTCTGCCATACGTCTCCCTCGCTTTGTCAATTCACCAAGGTGGTTAAGGGCACCAAGAGCATACAACTGTTCCAATGCTAGCACAAGAGTTTCATGAGGGGGAGGATCAAGAAAATCAAAATGAATGAGATCATTGATACCAAGTGATTTCAACAACAAAACAACATTACCAAGATTCACACGCTGGATCTCAGGAATAGCATTATCTTCCAATTCATGCTGATAGGCCCATGCAGTATAGAGCCTAAAGCACTTTCCTGCTGCTACCCGGCCTGCACGCCCAGCCCGTTGATTAGCTGAAGCTTTAGATATTGGTGTAACTACTAATGATTCCATGCCTGTACGAGCATTATAACTGTTCTGTTTGTTAAAACCAGGATCAATTACGTATATTATCCCATCTATTGTCAATGATGTTTCTGCAATATTTGTGGCTAGAATAACTTTCCTGGCACCAGGTGGTGTTGGTTCAAATATCTTAGCTTGCATATCAGATGGTAGATTTGCATAAATTGGAAGAACTATAAGTTCCCGAATTTTAGAGCCTAAGCTTCGGGTTCTTTCTAATAACATTTCTTGGCAAGTTTCAATTTCTTCTTGACCAGTCAAAAATACAAGAATATCACCCAAAGGTTGTGTAACATGTATTTGCAACACAGTTACTACACAAGCATCCAAATAGTCTGCCTCTGGAGCTTTGGTATAGTAAATATCAACTGGATATCTTCGTCCTGGTATTCGAAAAATTGGAGCACCATCAAAGAAGTCTGAAAATTTTTCTGCATCAAGTGTTGCACTAGAAATTAAAAGCTTCAAATCTGGTCTAAACCGGGCAATATCTTTAACAAGCCCAAACAAAATATCTGTATGAAGAGTCCTTTCATGAGCTTCATCAACTATTAACACACTGTAACCAGACAGGTCTGGCTCTGAGAGAAATTCTCGTAATAACATTCCATCAGTTAAATATTTCAGAACTGTTCTTTCAGATGTACAGTCTTCAAACCTTATACTATATCCAACTTCATTACCAAGTTTAACACCCATTTCTTGGGCAACACGGGCAGAAACGCTCATAGCAGCTACTCTTCTTGGCTGAGTACAGCCTATTTTTTTCTTGTCTTTTGTATATCCTGCCTCATACAGGTATTGAGGAATTTGGGTTGTTTTACCAGAACCTGTTTCACCCTCAATTATTAGAACTTGATGTTCTTTTATGGCTTGTAACAAATCCTCTTTAAATGGGTAAATTGGAAGACTTTTTCTTGTTTCTTCTATACTTAACTTTTTCTTCTCGTACTCAGACAACTCTGGTTCAGACTCAGCTTTCCCTTTTGATCCTGGCATTTTTAATGCTTGAACAAATTCAATTGCATCATCCATTACTAATTCATAATCTTTTTCCTTGTGTTGTTTCTTGGCATCTCGAGCTCCAAAATGCATTTGTGCACTGCCTAGTCTTTCTTCTTCCCATTTCTTTTGTTCTGCATTAGGAACTCGTTCTTTTTCATCAACTTCAACATAACTTTTTGGAGGTTCTTTCTCTTTCTTCTCTTCTGGAATATGATATCTCTCAACTTTTTCCAATTCTCGAGCCCTTTCATGCTCTTTTGTAAGTTCTAATATTTTCCTCTTATATTGTACTTCGGCCTTTTCTCTTTTTGTTATACTGACATCAGAGAAAAGGAATTCTTCATCTACAATATCTCCTTCTAATTCTAACAGTTTATCTTGTTTTCTTTTCTCTAAATATTTTCGACGAGACTCAATTCTCAGTTTAGGAACAACATTTTTCCTATCTTCAGCTTCTAATTTTAATCTTTGTGCTGCTTCCTGAAAAGCTTTTTTGTCAGATTTTTCCACAATACTTCTTGTTTTATCTTTATCCTTATCTTTCAGTCTAGCTGCAAATTCATCTCTTTCTTTCAAGTCTTGAAGACGCTCATGTTCTGTATCATCAAAATCACTATCAGAGTCCATATTATGACTAATTTTACTTTTACTAGAAATCTCAGGTAGAGGTTCACTTTCATTTGAATCATCATCAGACAGCATTTCTTTTCTTAAATGTTTTCTTTTCTTTTTCTTTTGTCAGTTCTAGATTTTTTTGTAGGAATTTGATCATTATCTTCATCATCCTCTAATAACTGGTAACTTTGATTTTTCTGCAAAAGTTCTTGCACTGCGCGTTCATGAGCACGCATGGGCTTCTCCCTTTTTTCAACATGTGGAACTTTATTCCAAAGTTCTCTAGCAAATCTACTGAGTTTTCCATCAACTGTAAGTGTTCCTGTATTTTCAACTTTGGTTAAAAATTCTTCTACACTGACGCTCTTTCCTGCTAAATTTATCAAAAACTGAGCTACATATTTGTCACTAAGTCCAAGCAACTCATGCAACTCATCACTCACCCATTGTTCTACTTGTGAATCCATGGTTTGTAAGTCTTTCAATCACTTACTAAAACAAATTAACATTAAAAAAAATCCACGGTTTCATTTTTATATATAATTAATAATTCTGTCTGGTAGTAGTAAACGAAATCTACCGCTTAGTATCTAAGCTAAGCCTATAACATACACTGATACATACACAAAATGTTGTGAACAACCGTGAGCCCTCTATAATAAGACAAATATTAAAAACAATCAAATTTAGAAATAGTATAGTTAGTAAATTTTTTGTTGAAGTTTATAACTATAATAAATCTAATTTAGCTAAGCAGATAAAACTGATAAAATTAAAACAATAATTCACTGACTAATAAGTTAATGATTTATTACGAAATATAGCGAAGGTGGAGGCAATACAGTGAAAATTTATTAATTTTGACAAAAAACTTTAGTGGAATTCACTTCGGAAGAGTACTGCCGTATTCCCCCAGTTGCTCAGCGGTATGTTTGTGGACTTACAACGCTAAAAACCGGGTTTCGATACTCGTCGTGAGCAGCTCACAGATAACCCATTGTGTAGTTTAACTTCAAACAAACAAACCAAAAAAGCACTACCGTAAATTACCAAAAATTACAGGGCTCATACATTACACAACAAAAAAGGTAATAGAATGTGGCCAAAATGCATATAAACAATCAGATTAAGTTATAAATATTCAAGCATGATATGCAAATAGACGAGAAACAGAGAAAAGATTAAAGAAATATATCTAGAGAGTTAGGAAAAGCAAGATGACTTAATATGTAAGAATTTAATTAAATTTACCAAGAAACGTAACGGATTTAAATAATCTAACTTACTTTTAAAAAGCCGAATGGATAACGTTACTATTAATATTTTCAACGGCAAATTCTTCCACTCTTTGAATCCCGGATAGCGTCACTCCAGTGGGTCAAGGAAAATAGTACCAACTTCAAGTATGTTTTTCTTCTACTGTATCGTTATATTATTCGTTAATGTTTTTAAATTAACAAATGTAAGTTCACTCGTTTGCCAATGCTTAGAAACGACACTTCATCACCAATTTCACATATTTAAATGATTTATTGCAAACTTTTGTTAACATCGTTCTTTACCGTTAATACTTGTGTACTTCTGAATGATCGCACCAGTGATCAAAACGTCATATCTGTTCTTGAAACAAATCTTACTTACTGTAAAAGCTGTAACTTGTAATACAATATAAACGTTTGCTATGTTTTTGCACGATAGAGATTATGTGATATTTTCAGGTAAACTGATTTCCTCGTACATATTAAATAGGAGGATGGAGCAGAAAATTTACAAAGCAATCTGCACCTGAAAACCGACCGAGTTTTAAGCTTTATGAGAAATAATGAAACTAGATAAATGTGATGAAACACGAAAACAATCGTTATTATTACGCAGAAAAAGAAGAACAGTGTATGTGCTAATGTAGACATTTATACATGTGCCTTTACTGGAGCTGTGAATAGATAATTAGTTTTTCCTATCGTTTTTCCAACCGATCTACTGTCTTTTATACAGGGAGGATATCTTAGCCATGAACCTAATCAGCCCCAGACAACAGGAAGCCCCTTCCAGACCCCACAACTAAACCCTAATGCAGACATATTATGTCCTGCCAGAAGTCACATTCCAGACATGAGTATCAGCAATAGGAGTGATCTAGTACGAAGGAAGCCACAGGAATTCGATGGGAAGGCACCATGGTAAGCATGTAGATCACAATTTGAACTCCTGGCAAAAATGAATGGATGGACAAAGGAGCAGAAAGCAGTGTACCTGAAGGGATAACCACTGGAAATACTTGGACAGTTGTCAGCCGACGACAGGCACAACTATAGAGCACTGGTAGCTGCTCTAGAAAGCAGGTATGGAACTCGAAATCAGTCCAAAGTCTAGTGGGCTGGATTTAGGACTAGAGTCCGGGCTAAAGGGGAGAGCCTGCAAGAGCTTGCACAGGATTTGGAAAGTATGGCACCCAACTGCACCACCCGATGTCCTCAAGCTGTTGCTGAGGGATCAGTTTGTAGATGCCTTGGACAGTCCCCAACTGAAGATACAAGTGAAGCAAGCGCACCCCTCTACTATACAGGATGCAATGGCCAGAGCTCTTGAATTCTAATCATATGTTAAGGCCAGCACAGAAATACCAAGGTTGGTACAGTCATCAGGATTCAAGGCCAGCAAAGGTCAGCTTTCAG